CTTTTTCTTCATGAGAAGTATCATTCTTACCAGACCCTAGACAAAAATATTTGTTTTCCAACATGCTCTGAAAATGCCTGACACCAGCTCCTATGAACGTGGCAACGGCATATCTGTGCGTTCAGCACAAAGTGATCTGCCTTTCTGGCTGAGCAGCCCATAGTTCAGAAGTTGGAACGTGACTTCATACCTTAGTGCATTCATTTAAATGTCAGCTCTGCCACTCACTAGCAGTGTGACCTAGGATATATACTTAACCTTTCTCTGCCCTAGTTTTTTAACCTATAATTTGTGCCTACCTCATAATGTTGTGCAAATTAATTATTGTGTTATCACTTACGAAGCACTCAGAATCAAAGTCAGTTGAAATAGTAAGCATTTGATGTTTGTTGTTATTAAAATGTAAAGAAGTAGTTCAAATCTTTAAGAAAAAGATAATCTAAAATGGGTCAAAGTAGGAGTAGGCAAATCACAAAAAATGGAAATCTAAATGATCAATAAATAATGAAAGTATACCACTGCAATAGTGGTAAACAGGGAATATGCACATTAAAACAAGATATCAAATCTTGCCTATTGGATGACAATTAAAACTCTATAACATTCAATGCTGATAACATTCATTAGAAAACCTAGAAGAACCCACATATTCACTAATTACTAGTGTATTTTTATATTGGGAAAAATTTAAATAATGATAATAAAAATTTTCAACATGTATATATCCTGAGTATTTTCATTTCTGGGATTCTAACTGACAAGTCAGAGAAAAAGAAAGAAAAGGAAAATAATCAGCAATGTTAAATATTCTTAAAACCTTAGTCAAAAATAACTCTAAAATGTTGATGACAATGTCTGTAAACAACTAGAATGCCCATATACAGGGAAATGGTTGCCTAAATCATGGTATATTAATTCTATGAAATACTAAGTAGTTATTTAAGACAATGTAGATCATTATGAATTAAATTAGAAACAGGTCCACAGTATGCTAATAAGCAATAGATAGATAGATAGATAGATAGATGTATATACATAGAAATATGTAGAAACACATAGTCCCAACATGGAGTTGCTGTGTATATATATGTGTGTAAGTGTGTGTGTTTGTATTAAAGGAAATAGTAGTTTACAGTGATTATACTAGAAAATGGGATTAGAAAGGGAAAGTAAGAGACTTTCAATGTCACTTTTGACTATGTATTGTTTGGATTAGTACAGTGAGTAGGTATTATCATTACACAAAATTGAAAAAATGATTAAGAATGAAGAAAATAAACAATGAATATGTAATAAAAATCAAAAATCAACTACTACATATGTACTTTTTTCAAGGCACAAAGGAACTGTTCATTAGTTACATATAAAAATGTTTCCAAAATATTCAACAATGGAAAATAATTCCAAACTATAGAGTTCTTTTAAAACTTTAGCACAGAGTTAAATCAATCAAAGTGAATTAAATCCTTTTATGCTCACTGCATCTATCAGCAAAGGCTTACATATCATCATGGCACAACGGAAAAAGGGAACATATACTGCTGTAAGTTAGAAATGTAGTTGGGATTTTTCTCCCTAAGAGGAAAAAGTAAAATTAAATTTTCTGAACATTTATAACAGGCCTTGGGGTAAATACTAAAATACTGCCTAGAGTAGGGAAGGAACCTATCGCAGTGGATAGAGGCGCAGTGCCGAGCACTATTCTCTGAAGGATGAGAAGTATGGGAGAAGCAATGCCTCAAGAATAAAACAGCTGGGACCTGATCAGGATCTAAGAAGCAGAAAACAGAGGCTATCAGAAAGCATATTCAGTATTTCTTTATTTCACTGACTCTAAGAAGTATAGTTTGTCACCTTTTAATATCCCTGAAATTGAGTCTTAGTGGCATGTTATAGCCACTGCCAGCCAGGTGACAGTTCTGACATGGTTGTCACTGCCTTGATTAAATTTATTCACATTGCCTTCATTTCCATTGAGTCTTACGTATTTTTGGTGCTACAAGTGTTTAGCTTATTCACCATTTAAAATGTTTTTCTATAGGCTTACATGATTTAGCATCGGAGCAGAAGTCATTATATACACAAAAATATACAGAAATAGAAGAGTGGAAATAAATTTGATTTAGTGAGGCAAACATTCAACATACAGGAATGACTTGAGCCCCATATTTTCTTACTAATAATAACCATGTGTTTAAAGACCTAAGAAAATACACAGAAGTATATGTAGGTTGGGTTTTGTTATTAAGATGCATACAAAGGAATTAGCTATCACATGCCAAGCAGAGGAACTGAAAACACAAATTGCTAAATGCCCTTGCATTGATGAACAACAATGAGCAGCTGGTATAAATGATCCATGTGTCATGCAGGACTGTCTTTAAAGCATTACATCATAGTGGATAGCATTTTTTTCCTCAGTAGAACATAGTTCAATTGTGTATCATTCAATCAATGGCATCACAGATTTACTAAAATATGAGTAAAATATATTTTTCAACATTGAAAATTTTAAAAATTATTGGCTTCTTGACAAGAAAGAAAAAGAGGAGGGAGCAAGAAAGGGAGAGAGGGCAGGGAGAAAGAAAAGAAGGAAGGGGGGGAAAGGGGGAGGGAGGAAGAAAGCAGGCCAAAAACAATCTTTCAGGATGGCAGAAATAGAAGTATTTCATAATTAAGCAGAGAAAAAGAGGTGGGAATGGGAGGAGGATTGGAATCTCTTAGGAAGGAAGCAAGAAAAAGTTTGAGAAGCATTGGTTTAAGATACCCACATTACATTTATGGTTCTTCTATCTATCTTTTGGTGGTTCTTAGGTGGCTCAGTGGTAAAGAATCCATCTGCCAAGCAGGAGACACAGATTGGATCCCTGGGTCAGAAGATACCCTGGAGGAGGAAATGGCAACCCACCCCAGTATTCTTTCCTGGGAAATGACATGGACAGAGGAGCCTGGAGGGCTACAGTCCATGGGGTCACAAAGAATCAGACATGACTGAGCGACTAACACACGTTTTATATGTCTCTGGGCAAGGCACTAACCTCTCTCAGCCTCAATACCTCTTCTACAAAACAAATATAATAGTACCTACACTAGAGACTTGGGAAGATTAAAAGTAGCAAAAATACATAGTCTATAAGGCACTTGACTTGTATCTGCTCATTAAATGCTGTTTTCTCAAAGAAAGTTACCATATTTAGGTGAAATCTTGCTGGGAGATTTATGTCATCTATCTATAAAGGAGCTTAGTGACTCAGATGGTAAAGCGTCTGTCTGCAATGCAGGAGACCCGGGTTTGATCCTTGGGTTGAGAAGATGCCCTGGAGAAGGAACTGGCAGCCCACTCCAGTATTCTTGCCTGGAAAATTCCAAATGGACTGCAGAGCCTGGTAGGCTACCGTCCATGGGGTCGCAGAGAGCCAGACACAACTGAGCGACTTCACTTTCACTTTCAAGGTGTTAAAATTCCAACCTTGAAACATTGGTATTTAAGATTTTAAAACTGGGCAGTGAGCCGATTTGAGTAAAATAACTTGATTTGATGTGATGTCTCTTTTCTGATGTGTTTTAATCGCAAATATTTTCCTGAATATAATTCTTCTCTTGGAAGCTGTCACTAGCTGAGAAATAGTCACCCTCACCTGCTGTTTTCTCTAAAATAAGGAACTAGGAAGCAGCCTGGGGAAAAGACCTCTTCTGTCAGAAGTGATAAATCAGAGTGTATTTTTTCATTGATATCTTAATTTTCATCTCTAATTATAACTTAGAAAAGACTTTGGGAGGGAAGATCAAACCAAGGAAAAGTTTACTTTTATATATTTGAGACGGAGAGATTAATCTCCAGGAAAATTAGAGGACAGCCATCCTTGTTTATCCTGTATGCTTTTAGTCTATGTTGCATTTCAACCATCACCAGAGGTGCTAATAATATTAAGATCAAAATGTCAGAACACATAAAGTGTCACAACAAAACAGTAAATTGGTTACTTTAAAGAACATAAAGTCATAAAGTTTTTAACAGTTTTCTAACTGTCCAGATGTATGACTGAACTCTTCTTTCCAAATTCTTATTGCAGAAGGATACCCATATAGGATTGTGGACAAGGATTATGCCTCTCTCTAGAAATGGTAAGAGACCATTGCTTCCATTCTTCTCTGATTCATCTTCCTCTTAGGGTTCTCCCACCAAGATTATTACAACCAGAAAAGCAGCATTCAAGGAGGTGCTTCTCTTTTGTTTATGCACTGAACTAAGATTGCTAAAAGATCTCATATTTGGGTTCACTTAGAATCACTAAAACACAGTAAAACTCTGAAGAAACTTTACAAGGAAAAATTAGAGAAAACAAAATGTAAATAAGTGATAGCATGAGGGAAGAATAAGGTGTAATTCCTTTCTATTTAACTGCATAGACACACAGTGACTATCTGCAGAGCGCTATCTACGTTGCCAAGAGCTCAGAGTTTAGTGAGTGAAGCAGTTATATAAATGTATGGTTAATATCGAATATTGTTAGTGCTAAAACAGATGTGTGGAAACAGTTATACTCTCGTGCAAGCATGTTTTAAGGTTTTCTAGCCTTACCTCATTCCTATTCTAACTTGAGACCGACATTTTTAATTCAAAGGACCTCAAAGTTTTCAGGACACGTGCCTACCTCCATCACTTTCTGAATCCCAATCCACCTCCACATTTAAAATATCATTTCATGCACAGCATCAACAATTCCACTCCTAGACACATTTCTTTGCAGTCAACATGAAGACTCTATTTCTATTCCATTTTCTCCCCATTTCTGAGAAAGTAGAATATAACAGTTAAGAATACAGGCCTCGAGGGCCCACCCCTGGGACCCTTTGGGCCGGGGAGGGTTTTGTCAGTCAGCCCACCCGGCATCTACCTTAGAGGAGGCGGGAGTCCGGGGAGCGAGAATCGTACGTGCGGCGCGCTAGGGGGCTGCGAGACTCGTGACGTCCGCGAAGGCAGGTGAGGAAACCCAGAAATGTCTTTCCTCCAGGATCCCAGTTTCTTCAGCATGGGAATGTGGTCCATTGGTGCAGGGGCCATTGGAGCCGCTGCCTTGGCGCTGCTTCTGGCCAACACAGACATGTTTCTGGCCAAGCCCCATAAAGCAGCATTGGAGTATCTGGAGGACATAGACCTGAAGACACTGGAGAAGGATGCAGTAACTCCAATCAAAAAATGGGCCAAAGAACTGAACAGACATTTCTCCAAGGAAGACATACAGATGGCTAACAAACACATGAAAAGATGCTCAACATCACTCATTATCAGAGAAATGCAAATCAAAACCACAATGAGGTACCATTACACACCAGTCAGGATGGCTGCTATCCAAAAGTCTACAAGCAATAAATGCTGGAGAGGGTGTGGAGAAAAGGGAACCCTATTACACTGTTGGTGGGAATGCAAACTAGTACAGCCACTATGGAAAACAGTGTGGAGATTTCTTAAAAAGCTGGAAATAGAACTGTCATATGACCCAGCAATCCCACTTCTGGGCATACACACCGAGGAAACCAGATCTGAAAGAGACACGTGCACCCCAATGTTCATCGCAGCACTGTTTATCATAGCCAGGACATGGTAGCAACCTAGATGCCCATCAGCAGACGAATGGATGAGGAAGCTGTGGTACATATACACCATGGAATATTACTCAGCCATTAAAAAGAATTCATTTGAATCAGTTCTAATGAGATGGATGAGACTGGAGCCCATTATACAGAGTGAAGTAAGCCAGAAAGATAAAGACCATTACAGTATACTAACACATATATATGGAATTTAGAAAGATGGTAACGATAACCCTATGTGCAAAACAGAAAAAGAGACTCCGATGTATAGAACAGACTTGTGGACTCTGGGAGAAGGCGAGGGTGGGATGTTTCAAGAGAACAGCATCGAAACACCTATATTATCTAGGGTGAAACAGATCACCAGCCCAGGTTGGGTGCATGAGACAAGTGCTCGGGCCTGGTGCACTGGGAAGACCCAGAGGGATTGGGTGGAGAGGGAGGTGGGAGGGGGGACCGGGATGGGGAATACATGTAAATCCATGGCTAATTCATTTCAATGTATGACAAAAACCACTACAATGATGTAAAGTAATTAGCCTCCAACTAATAAAAATAAATTTAAAAAAAATAAAGCAAAAGATGAGAAATAAAAAAAATAAATTAATTAATTAATTTAAAAAAATAAAATAAAATAAATTAAAAAAATAAAGCAAAGGCACTCTGGGAGAAGAATGGAGCCGTGATTATGGCTGTGCGGAGGCCAGGCTGCCTCCTCTGTTGGGAGGAGGCTGCAGATTTGTGCTCCCTGAGGTCCACGTTGGACGAGCCCGGCGTCCCCCTCTCTGCAGTGGTAAAGGAGCACATCAAGAACGGAGCTAAGGACTTCCAGCCTTATTTCAAAGGAGAAATCTTCCTGGGTGAAGAGAAAAATTCTATGGCCCACAGACACGGAAGATGGTGTTCATGGGATTTGTCCGTCTGGGCGTCTGGCGAAACTTCTTCCGGGCCTGGAATGGAGGCTTTTCTGGAAACCTTGAAGGCGAGGGCTTCATCCTTGGGGGAGTCTTTGTGATGGGACCAGGAAAGCAGGGCATTCTTCTAGAGCACCGAGAAAAGGAATTTGGAGACAAAGGAAACCTGACTTCTGTTCTGGAAGCTGCTAGGAAGATCAGACCACAGACTTCAGCCTCAGAGGAAAAATGATTGTGTGAAACTGCCCAGCTCAGGGATAACAAGGGCTCTCACCTGTGTTTGCAGGATGTGTTGTGGGTCAGCTGCTGTCCCTAAGGCGTTATAAACCCATCTATTATGCCACATTCTCAGTATAGACCATTAACATATTTTAATATTGTACTCTGTATAGGTCTAATAAGGCAAAATAAGGTCTAATAAGCCCCCAAACAGGACTGATAAAAATCTAAGACGCTAATAAGGCTTATTTCAGCTAAAACCTGGAAGATCTGAGGCTTAAAGTTGATTGTTACACTTCATCACAAATGTACATGGTGTTTGAGTGCTATTATTTGAAATGATTTTTATTTTCATGTCTTTAAAAATCTTAGAAAAGTTGATGATTGACTTGAAGATTAAAGATACAAGGTTTTTGGCTCATGTTTTCACAGTAATAATGATTTATTTTATAATGTTAAAGTAATACATAAAATAATTCATGTGCTTTGGATGACTTGATAAAGGTAAATAATAAAGTGAAATCTATTTTCTCATTGTCTTCCATTCTAAAAAAAAAAAAGAATACAGGCCTGGGATTGAGTCCAGCCTTCATTATTTTTAACAGTGTGACCCCAGGCAAATTATCTGACTTCTTTGAACCTCAGTTTTTATCCCTTACTTCTTAGGTTTATTTGTAAGTATTAAATGAGATAATGGATAAAAATGATTTACTGAATCTATTGCATGATCAATTTTCAATAAGAGTTCGCAATTTATTACATTACTCTTCCCCAGTTAATTAATCCAAAAACAAGCTCATCATACAAGTAAGACCTCATTCTCTCTTCTCAGAGACTGCTATTATCTTCAGTCTCATGCAATAGTACCACACATTAATCATACCATTTGCTTAACAAGAGTTACATATTTACTATTCCCTGGTTGTTATTTAACCCATACCAAGCATTTATTGAAAATAATAAGTAGGTTTTGAAGTAAACTAGCTTCTTGAGGACATTTAAACACATTTAATAATAATAATAGCAACCACCTATTGGGAAATGCCTTTGTGCTACTGCCATATGCTCTTTCAGAAATTTAGTATTTCCCCATCAACAGGGGGACCTTTATTTCCCTTCCTTTCCAAACTGAATGTGATATTGTGACTAAGTCAACAAGAATGTAGCAAAAGAAACATGACTTTTAAGGGTTGATGACTGTAGCCATCTCTGGGGATGCTTGCTTTTGGAACCCAGCCATTACTCTGTAATTAAGCCAAGTAAACACATGGAAAGATGATATACCGGTATTCTCACCACAGCTCCAGTGATGCCCTCAGAAAGAGCCAATATCACTCCCCAAACAAATGACCAAATGAACCCTGAGATGGTTACAGTCCCAGCTTTCAAACTAACCCAACAGATTCTATATGTAACAGAGATGCACTGTTCCCACTACTCCCACTGTCCTCCCTTTCACTATTCTTTCTTTTTTCACACTAGCCATTTTTTCTCTAAATCTAGTTCTTTATCACTCCACACCCACAGCTTTTCATAAAGATCATAACTACCATCTCTGCTTCCCTCTACTCCCCTAAAACAATCCAACATATAACTAATAACAGATCAATACTCCTGAAATATTAATTTTATCCTATCACATATCTATTTCAAAAAACTCAAGAGGTTCCCATAGTTGGGTACAGTATGTACAACTGCATAAACTCCAAGTTCAATTCATTCCCTCAGTAATGTCCAACTCTCTGCAACCCGATGGACTGCAGCACGCCAGGCTTCCCTGTCCATCACCAACTCCTGGAGCTTGTTCAAACTCATGTCCATTGTCAATGATGCCACCCAACCATCTCATTCTCTGTCATCCCCTTCTCCTCCTGCCCTCAATCTTGCTAGCATCAGGGTCTTTTCCAATTAGTTCTTTGCATCAGGTGGACAAAGTATTGGAGTTTCAGCTTCAGCATCAGTCGTTCCAATGAGTATGCAGGACTGATTTCCTTTAGGATGGGCTGGTTGGATCTCCTTGCTGTCCAAGGGACTCTCAAGAGCCTCCTCCAACATCACAGTTCAAAAGCATCAACTCAGCTCAGCTTTCTTTATGGTCCAGCTCTCACATCCATACATAACTACTGGAAAAACCATAGCTTTGACTAGACGGACCTTTGTTGGTGAAGTAATGTCTCTGCTTTTTAATATGCTGTCTAGGTTGGTCATAGCTTTTCTTCCAAGGGGCAAGCATCTTTTAATTTTATGGCTGCACAAGGGAGAAACAACAAATAACACACAAAGGGATTCCCATAAGGATAACAGCTGATCTATCAATAGAAACCCTTCAGGCCAGAAGAGAATGGCAGGACATACTTAGAGTAATGAAAGAGAATAACCTACAACCTAGATTACTGTACCCAGCAAGGATCTCATTCAGATATGAAGGAGAACTCAAAAGCTTTACAGACAAGCAAAAGCTGACAGAATTCAGCACCACCAAACCAGCTCTTCAACAAAAGCTAAAGGATCTTCTCGAGACAGGAAACACAGAAAGGTGGTATAAACATTAACCCAAAACAACAAAGTAAATGGCAACGGGACCATACCTATCAATTATTACCTTAAATGTAAATGGGTTGAATGCCCCAACCAAAAGACAAAGGCTGGCTGAATGGATACAAAAACAAGACCCCTATATATGCTGTCTACAAGAGACCCACCTCAAAACAAGGGACACATACAGACTAAAAGTGAAGGGCTGGAAAAAAATATTTCACACAAACGGAGACCAAAAGAAAGCAGGAGTCACAATACTCATATCAGATAAAATAGACTTTCAAATAAAGGCTGTGAAAAGAGACAAAGAAGGACACTACATAATGATCAAAGGATCAATCCAAGAAGAAGATATAACAATTATAAAAATATATGCACCCAACATAGGAGCACCGCAATATGTAAGGCAAAGGCTAACGAGTATGAAAGAGGAAATTAATAGTAACACAGTAATAGTGGGAGACTTTAATACCCCACTCACAACTATGGATAGATCAACTAAACAGAAAATGAACAAGGAAACACAAACTTTAAAGGACACAATGGACCAGCTAGACCTAACTGACATCTATAGGACGTTTCACCCCAAAACAATCAACTTCACCTTTTTCTCAAGTGCACACGGAACTTTCTCCAGAATAGATCACATCCTGGGCCATAAATCTGGTCTTGGTAAATTCAAAAAAATTGAAATCATTCCAGTCATCTTTTCTGACCACAGTGCAGTAAGATTAGATCTCAATTACAGGAAAAAAATTATTAAAAATTCAAACATATGGAGGCTAAACAACACGCTTCTGAATAACCAACAAATCATAGAAGAAATCAAAAAAGAAATCAAAATATGCATAGAAATGAATGAAAATGAAAACACAACAACCCAAAACCTATGGGACACTGTAAAGGCAGTGCTAAGGGGAAGATTCATAGCATTACAGGCCTACCTCAAGAAACAAGAAAAAAGTCAAATAAATAACCTAACTCTACACCTAAAGCAACTAGAGAAGGAAGAAATGAAGAACCCCAGGGTTAGTAGAAGGAAAGAAATCTTAAAAATTAGGGCAGAAATAAATGCAAAAGAAACTAAAGAGACCATAGCAAAAATCAACAAAGCTAAAAGCTGGTTTTTTGAAAAAATAAACAAAACTGACAAACCATTAGCAAGACTCATTAAGAAACAAAGGGAGAAGAATCAAATTAACAAAACTAGAAACAAAAATGGAGAGATCACAACAGACAACACTGAAATACAAAGGATCATAAGAGACTACTACCAGCAGCTCTATGCCAATAAAATGGACAACTTGGAAGAAATGGACAAGTTCTTAGAGATGTATAACTTTCCAAAACTGATCCATGAAGAAACAGAAGATCTTAACAAACCCACCACAAGCAAGGAAATCGAAACTGTAATCAGAAATCTTCCAGCAAACAAAAGCCCAGCACCAGATGGCTTCACAGCTGAATTCTACCAAAAATTTAGACAAGAGCTAACACCTATCTTACTCAAACTCTTCCAGAAAATTGCAGAAGAAGGTAAACTTCCAAACTCATTCTATGAGGCCACCATCACCCTAATTCCAAAACCAGACAAAGATGCCACAAAAAAAGAAAACTACAGGCCAATATCACTGATGAACATACATGCAAAAATCCTTAACAAAATTCTAGCAAACAGAATCCAACAACATATTAAAAAAACCATACACCATGACCAAGTGGGCTTTATCCCAGGAATGCAAGGATTCTTTAATATCCGCAAATCAATCAATGTGATACACCACGTTAACAAATTGAAAGATAAAAACCATATGATTATCTCAATAGATGCAGAGAAAGCCTTTGACAAAATTCAACATCCATTTATGATTAAAACTCTCCAGAAAGCAGGAATAGAAGGAACATACCTCAACATAATAAAAGCTATATATGACAAACCCACAGCAAGCATCACCCTCAATGGTGAAAAAATGAAAGCATTTCCCCTGAAATCAGGAACAAGACAAGGGTGCCCACTGTCACCACTCCTATTCAACATAGTTTTGGAAGTGTTGGCCACAGAAATCAGGGCAGAGAAAGAAGTGAAAGGAATCCAGATAGGAAAAGAAGAAGTGAAACTCTCTCTGTTTGCAGATGACATGATCCTCTACATAGAAAACCCTAAAGACTCTACCAGAAAATTACTAGAGCTAATCAACGAATACAGTAAAGTTGCAGGATATAAAATTAACACACAGAAATCCCTTGCATTCCTATACACTAACAATGAGAAAACAGAAAGAGAAATTAAGGAAACAATACCATTCACCATTGTAACAAAAAGAATAAAATACTTAGGAGTATATCTACCTAAAGAAAGAAAAGACTTATATATAGAAAACTATAAATCACTGATGAAAGAAATCAAAGAGGACACAAACAGATGGAGAAATATACCATGTTCATGGATTGGAAGAATCAATATTGTCAAAATGG